AGGTGTCGGTTCGCTTCTCTTGCCGTAAAATTATCATTTCCGATGAGAAAAAGCTATTTTTCGACAAATTTAACATTGAAATCATTACTACACTCAATAGTCTACATAAACAATGAAGAATAAATATTATAAATATCATAAGTCTATAAATAAACATCATAAAATCCAATTTTTTTAAAAACATTTAATGAAAAATCAATCTCATAATCCACAAAAAACCTAACATTGTTGAAGATAATGTTACCGATGAATGAATTATGTGGTGGTGGCATTGTGCGAGTATTTTTGACTTTCAGTAACTTTTCAATTTTAATTTTTTGTTTAAATGGTCAAAAGCCATTATGGGAACATGTATTCCCTCTATACCAATCAGGATTCCATTGGTGTCCCTCGGTCGACTTTTCCTTAGCGGTTTCAGCCAACCGCCACTCGATCGATTCATCCACCAGAAACGCCACCCCCGCCACCGTATAAGAGAGAAAATGAATTCTCGTTTCATTTCTTTTGCCACTCGATCCCTCAAATCCCGTAACAACAAATCCCCCCTTTCCTTTCTCTCCCAAACGAATAATTGCTTCTCCTCTAGCCCCACCCAAACTGCCCCGCTGTCTGATTTCCAGAAATATCCTCCTACCCTCGATGGCTTGCGCCAGCGGCTCGAAGCTGAGTCACCGATCTTAGCCGACTTTACCAATCTCCAATCCGAAAACCACTACTCCGTTGAAGTTGGCACCAAGAAGAAGCCTCTTCCCAAACCCAAATGGATGAAGGAATCAATCCCCGGGGGCGAAAAATATACCCAGATAAAGAAAAAATTGAGGGAATTGAAATTGCACACCGTATGCGAAGAAGCCAAATGTCCTAATTTAGGGGAATGCTGGTCTGGCGGCGAAACCGGCACTGCCACTGCCACCATTATGATTCTTGGTGATACCTGCACTCGCGGTTGCAGGTAAAGTGATCTATTTGAAAAATATTTCTTCACTGTTCAGGGTGGTGAATATGATGACTAGAGATCAGATTAATGAAAATTTCTTGACGAAAGGAATAGATTTGATTGGATTTAGTATATTTTTGTTTATTTCATGGGCAATGGTCAAAACTGCATAAAAAAATATTTATATAGTTATTTTCTTCCTGGGTTGGGGGCTGGGTGGGTTTGGAGCGGATTATTCGAATGCAAGTTATTGCTTATGTGGAAAGCTGCTCACTTGATGTAGGTAGAAGTACAGTGTAGAGAAAAACTCGAGGGAGGTGGTAGGTGGCATTAAGCACATGTATAATGGTTGATAACTCTCTCCTAAGGAAAGTAGTCTGTTTGTTAAATTACCAGTGGAGACAAGTGACAATAACTAAGATATTCTTTGCTCAAAAGAAAGAAGAAGAAAAAAAAAGGTTAAATTACCTCATGCCTCAAGGTATGTGAAATGAGTAGACAATATGAAGAAGTAAACTGTGAAGATGCTAATTGTGGGGCGACGATGGGACTCATTTTTATGTCTATCCTCTAATGCAAGCTATTGAACTGCACGTGCATTGTCATTGTAAGTTCGAAGATTTTTGATATTTGTGGACTCTCGTATTATATCTTAAATCTTCAGATTCTGCAATGTGAAGACATCACGCACTCCACCTCCTCCAGACCCAAATGAGCCCACAAACGTGGCTGAGGCAATTGCTTCATGGGGTTTGGATTATGTGGTGATTACTAGTGTTGATCGTGATGATTTACCAGATCAAGGTAGTGGCCATTTTGCTGAAACAGTGCAGAAATTAAAGACATTGAAGCCAACCATGCTCATAGAAGCTTTGGGTACGAATTTATTGTGCTGCTATTTGTATAAGTTGTTCAATATATGGATGTAGAAAATGAAGTATTCTGCAGCAAGGGGTGTAAAAGTAAGGAAATTGATATAGGTTTAGCTTCATTAAGAAGTTTATATCTACCCTTAACATTAGCATTCTGCAGCAAGTGGAGTAAAAGTAAGGAAATTGCTTTGATTGATGGCCTTTATCAGTTATAGTAACTGAGCTGCTGATCCTTTTGTCAGTAAATTCTATGGGGAACCTCTCTGGAGAAGTTCAACCTGATCATTTTAGATGTAGGATACCTATCTAAAAGTTTACCCATTAATAATGTTCTTTTACTATTTGTGTATTGATATGAAAACAAGGATTGGTTTTACTGCCTATATGAAAAATTATAATCTTGAAATGCATTCTGTTAACTGTTTTATGTTGAAATTGCAGTGCCTGATTTTCGAGGAGACTCTAGCTGTGTAGAGAAAGTTGCAAAATCTGGGTTAGATGTTTTTGCTCACAACATTGAAACTGTTGAGGAGCTTCAAAGTGTAGTACGCGATCACCGTGCTAACTTTAAGCAATCTATGGATGTTCTAGTAATGGCAAAGGACTATGCCCCTCCTGGTACGCTCACCAAAACGTCGGTAATGTTGGGGTGTGGAGAAACACCTGACCAAGTTGTGAAAACTATGGAGAAAGTGAGGGCAGCTGGTGTTGATGTAATGACTTTTGGTCAGTACATGAGACCCTCAAAGCGTCACATGCCTGTATCTGAATACATAACTCCGGAGGCCTTTGAGAAGTATCGAGTTCTTGGCCAGCAAATGGTTGGTTCCTCTCCTTTGTCTTCCCTTTAAAAACGAAAGCTAGCTCGTTAATAGTGAGCTGGTAATTGCTAATTTCTAAAAGCTCTCTTCTAGCCATTTCCACGTGTGCTTTGCCAATTTGCGTTTTTACATTCTCTCTCTGAATGCTATATTAATATGACTGGAAGTTATTATTGTTGTAACTTGTACAATATGGAATATTGCCTGAAATACCATTTCTCTTCTGTTTTAATTTCTATATTCTACATTCTTTTGTGTTGCCCCTCCAAATTTTGTTCAAGTGGTGTTATGAGATTGTAAGATTCTAATTTTGGGATACTAAAGAAGAATTAGAAACTGTTACTTATCACTATAACCTGTGTTCATTGCCAGATTCATTTTCTGTTACTAAAGGAGAACTTGAAATTGCTATTTATCTTCATATTTTGACTAAGTACTATGACTTTATTATTTTTTGCCACTCCTCTATAAAAAGAACATAAGCTTGTTTCTTAATTTGTTAGTTTTAGATCTCAGTTCATTCATCTCAGACCCAAAATTCTTCCTGTTGCTTGAAAATGAAAAGTGAAAAACTAAATAAATTAATTGATGAAATCATTTCGTATGTGGCTATTCTTGGTGTTGGGTAGAAATTTTGTTGCATTTCCTTTCCTATCTAATTAAATCCTGTCATTACTTGATTACGTTTTATGTGTGCCTGCACTCTGGCAAAGTAATGATTTTATGAATATGCTTTTGTTTTTAATCATAAAATGGCATTTAAACATAATATAACTATTCAAGATTTGTTCAATTTATTTGAAATTAGAGACCAATTTGTCTTCGTGCTTATGCTTTTAAAGATCATGATCAATGCGAAGTACGAAGTTCAAGTGTCATATGTCTGGTAGTAGTACTTGATGGTTTATAGATGTTAATAATGTGTGAGGTTGGCAATAACTAGTTAAGAACAAAGAATTGGATTGATGAAACTCTCCATCAGTGAACATAATGTCTCTTTGGATTTGTGGCAGGGATTTCGATATGTTGCATCTGGCCCCATGGTGAGGTCGTCGTACAAGGCGGGAGAATTCTATATTAAATCCATGATAGAATCAGATCGTGCTGCGTCTTCTTCCTAGAAGTCATTAATCGGGTGTTTGATTGTCTTTATACCACCAAGTCGATCCTAATAGTATGACAGATGGAAAATGTTACATTTCTTCACTAGGTGACATTTATCCACTTCAAGAGGCTTTATCTTCTATGCTAGAATCAGGATTGCGTTCCAATTATGCATTAACTTGTCCTTTAGAGTCACCTGCTAAAGGATTTGCTCATTGAAATGATGATATTACCTATGTATTCTTTATTTTTTTATTGTCAGACATCAACACTGGTGTAAATTGTAATTAAACTAGTCTATTGCTTGTGCAATGCACGGGTTATGTTATTTTGAAGGTAATGTTAGCGGTAAGTTTGTATCTATACTTTGTTGTTTAGCAATAAAGATGTGTATAGAATGGTCTCAGGGGGGATTGGTGTTCGGGCGAGGGTCGTGGTTCCTATGAGGTGAGCATGTGGAGGTATATTCGACGAGGTTGGAGCGACCTTCGGGACATATTGACTTTTGTGGTTGGGAATGTGAAGTTTCCTTCCTTGTATCGTATTTCTATGGCGTCATCTGCTATGGTGAATGACGTTTTAGTCATCCACAATGAGAGTTATAGTTGGAATATTACCTTTCAGCTGGGCTTGCGGGATTGAGAATTAGATGATTATGCATTGTTTTAAACCATTTGTATGATGTGAAAATTCGGGTTAGAGAGGAAGATTGTAGCCGATGGTGGTTGGCTCAGAATGATGTTTTTTCAGTTCACTTTTATTTTAGATCCCTCTTGAGACATGTGGAGAGTTCATTCCCCTGGAAGATGGTGTGACAATGTAAATTTCCTCCACAGGTGGCATTTTTGCTATGGACGATTGTCAGGGGACATGCATTAACGATGGATAACCTCCGAAGAAAATGCTTATATGTAACCGAATGGTGCTATATGTGTAGGAGTGATGGGGAGACACATGACCACTTGTTCATTCACTGTGACGGTGTTCGTTAGCTGTGGAATAATATTTTAGCTTCTCAACATATAGATTGGGTGTTGCCTAGATGTATTGAGGATGTGTTGCGGGCATGGAGGAGAAAGTTTCGTGATAAGGATATCAAGTTTGTTTGGAATCTTATACCGGGATGCTTTATATGGTGTGTGTGAAGAGAAAGGAACAACCGTTGTTTTGAAGACCAAACACGGACTACAGAGCAATTTAGAGAATTCTTTTATTAGACTTTGTATAGTTGGTTTAATGTTCCAACTAGTAATCCTATAGAGGGGTTGCCTAATTTCATGTCTTTTCTTTCTTATTTAAGTTGATAATACACATCCTGTGTATTCTTTTTTTATTAATATACATAGTTGAACTGAAAAATTGTTAGATATTTTTTCATAATTTATTTATTTGTTTATTGTTGTTATGCAAATGGTTTGCCACTTCGAAACATGGGGGTTGACCTGCCTAGTCCGATCGAGGGGGCAGCACCCCCGAAAGAGAATTCTGATTTTCGTGTATGTGTTGAAGAGTTGTATCTATTGAAAGTTAAATGAAATCTTTATTTGCTACGCGGAGGGGGACTCCACGCTCGCAATGCGGAGTCAGACCTCCGCACACTTCGCGGAGCTCGAACTCTACACTGCGATTTTCTTTAAAAAAAAAATTTACTTTTATATTTTTCAAATTACTAATTTATTTCTTTTTTTTTAGCTAAAAATTAAACATTTCGTTATTCTACTTAATTAAATTTAGATGATAACATTTACTTACATTTTGGACAAACAAATACAATTTCAATTATTAATAATTTAATTCAAAAACATTGATAAAAATTACAAAAGCTCACATTTGTTTACAAATCATATTAACTCTAGAAAACATTCAATTCTGTTAGATATTAATATTTACAATTTTTATATGTGAATTCAGAATATTAAAAATAGCAAAGAAAGAAGTCTATCCCCACTAATACATGAATGAAATAAGCAATGTTTTACAAATTACTTCTTTTTTTTCTCCAAAGATTTATTACAGGTTGCAATTTATTCAATAATTGGATTATTTGTGTTATCGGGTTATTAAGGACGGAATTATGAGAAATATACAGCCTCGAGTCTTAACATAAAAGAATCGTAAGTCTAGCTGCACCCTTTTACAACAATTACAGGCACTAACATCCGAATTTAAATTGTTGAACAATTCCAGATAAACAAACAAGGAATGCAAAGAGATTTGTACAACACCGAATATTAAGGCAGCCATGAGGAAAAATAAAGAGAGAAGGCTTTAAAGATGATCCAATTAACTAAGTCCAAAATTCTACATAAAGCATAAACGTAAAAAAGCATATATGTTTTAGTATTGAATTGTAACCTCCGTTAACCTTGCTAGCGAAGTTGAAATTGATGTTGTGATCTAAGCAGAGAACTTGTGAAAGAAGTTGCTGTTTCAGAATGGATATGGATAAGATGGGAAAGCAGGGATACAATTAAGCTTAGAAGTTAGAATTGACTATCAATAGTAAATGGTTGCTTCCATTTTTTCTTTCTTCTTTATTCTCAGAGATATAAGAAGAGTCAACAATTGTGAGTACGAGAAAGTCCATATTATTCTTTTGTTTTAAAGCTTCATGGATGGATAGTGGAGGATATCTATGGATAAGATGTTGATAAAAAACGCTTCACAAATGAACAGTAAATGGTGGCTTGCTAAGAAGAGTCAACAATTGTGGGTATGAGAAAGTCCATATTACCTTTTTGTTTTCAAGCTTCGTGAATGGATAGTGGAGGATGTCTATGGATAAGATGGAAATAAAAAAAAAAATACTTCACAAATGAACAGTAAATTGTGAATTGCCTCTTTTAAGATAGTAAGAATAATGGCAGATTTCATCTGTTGCATTCATGAGGTAAATAGCTCCTGGTTTCTTATACTTCGTGATTTCTTATGTTTCTTTGTGACTGAGAGATGGTTACTTTTCATCGGTGAAAACTTAACATCAACATCGCTCAATGTCTTTGTTGGCTTGGGATCGGTGACTGTCAGGTGCGCGGTGTTGATGGGATGATGGTCTAATGGGCACGTATAATTTAGGCGTTCAATAATTATACCCAAAATTCAAAATAAAAATGGACCCAATTCTTAATTTGAGAACTACTTAAGGACTGAAATTGTATGCATGTTTATTGATAATCATGAAATATATTTTAGGTGTCAATTCTTTGTTATGTTGGCTTTTGTAAATATCCATAATACAGTTCTCTAGTAATACTCGACGATTTGTCTAGAAATTTCACTTTGAAGGCCAGTAATAGACATGTAGGCTGTCCTAGGAGACCTGTCTTAGAACACAGCAACGGCCACAGAGCTCCTTTTCCATTTCCTCATCAATTGGCTCAAAGGTCCTCCACCCGTCTCCATTTGCAGACGTGTCGAAAACATGCACCTGCGACCTCAATCTCGATGCCTCTCCGGGGATCCTATAGCCAACCAGGAAGTACAACTTATTCCCTATTGGAGCCATGGTTAGGTACGACATTTGCATTGGTGGCCAACTTGATTCCTTCACATCAGGAGTGGAATTTGGATACAGAAAATTCAAATTCAAATTCGATCCACCAACCTCGTTCCACATGTTCAGTGTCTCATCGTACGCCTCGATGTGTCCCTTCCATGGCATAAAGCAATCGCCGGAACTGTAAAGCCTCCCATTCACATCAACAATCTGATATGGTGGAACATCCAATTCCCACATTCTTTCTTTGAAATCCCATTTATCGCATTGTGGGTCGTAAACCTCTGCAGAACTCCTTGTCATGACATACGGTCCCTGAATGCGATCGACATTTCCTCTATGAGCAAATCCCCCCACAACATGAATTTTGCCTTGCCAGGTTACTCCAACACACTTGTACCTCATTATGGACATGTTAACCAAAGACTTCCATTCATCCAGAGCCGGATCGTAAACCTCCGCCATTGAAATGCCTTTGGGCAGGCCTATCGCGCTTTGTCCGCCTGCCACGTAAATTTTGTGGTCACATACAGTGCATGCAAAATTAATCCTTGGTATGCTTAAAGGTGCACAAACTTCCCATTCATCCGTCCTGACATTGTATCTATGGACGCAAGGAAGGACCCTTCGGTCGATTTCTTTAACATTGTCAGTCTCGCGGTCTAATACCTTGAGACAAAGCCGGCCCCCGATTATATAAATATAGTCATCCAAAGAGACCATGGCGAAATCCTTGAGCACCTGGTTTTCGTCAAGTCCTGGAATAAAGGTGATGCGATGCCACGAATTGTTAGATGGATTGTAACAGTCGATGAAATTAGATATGTTCCCATTAGGATCCTTTGCGCAAAACGAAACATATATTCGACAACAATCAGTTGATGAAGTCTCAAGTCGCAAAAGAGAATCCATTGGGACGAAGAGGAGGAGATAGTTATTGGCCTCTTTCTTGTGTGGGGGCCCGGAAGTGATTTGTGTGGGTTCGAGTGGCTAATATAGTACAAAAGACGGATTTTACTAAGACATCAGAAAACATGGTTTCTGTAAGTATCTATGACTATACGATGTATTCTAGGAATTTGTAGATCAATTCTATGATTTTTCTTGTTGTAGAATTCTTTTATATTTGATTATCTAAACTGAGAAGCAGAAAAACAAACGGTATCATTGAATCGGCAACATTGTTGGTTGATTCTCTTCCGGTTCTTTTCAATAATGCTGCCGGGGATTTTCCCTATGTTTTCCAAATCTGGTTAACACTATTTTATTAGCCTTATTTGAAAGTAGATGTTGAAGAAACTAATTTAAAATTA